AAGATCTCATGCGATGCCTGCGATGCTTTATATTATGACCAGACGGGAAAATCTGTCTCTACACGCGTTCACGAGCACCAGTTGGCAGTTATAGGCGAGACCACTTGTCTCAAATGGCAATGCACACTCTTGACACTGAGAACACCTTCGCATGGGGCAAAACTCACATCATCGGAGTTTGCCCCTCTGATAATAACCGAGAGTTTTTTGAAGCCATGCATTCCGACGAGTCATGCATCAATTGACACGGTGAGTTAGATGCACGTACAAAAGTCTCCGGACAGGTATTCGCCTTCCTTAAGTCGGAAGGAACTCTTTTAATGGTCTCCTCGCTGACTGTCAGTTGAGAACGCCAGTGATTCGTTTTAGAGTCTGCGATACATCTGGTAGTAGGGTTACGTCGTCTGAGCTGAGCTGTGGTGTAGCGTTCATTCGATGGGGAGCTGTAGACAGCCATGATGGTCTGAACGAAATTCTTCGGCTTACCGTGGTCACCGCGTCCTTGAATGCCCTCCATATAGTAATAATTTCAGACACTCTGTATCTCCTACGGTCTCCGCTTCACTAGCCTTTGACATACAGTAGGTGGGCTACCTCATGAAATGTCAACCGAAATTCCGAAATGCGCTTTCGTTTCGAAAAGATTACTTAAGTATGGTTGTTAAACTAGTCAGCCTGCAACATAATTCTATAATATGTCAGTTACCACAGGATGCCGGCTTTCGAATGAACTTCCTTTCGGCTGCATGCAACAACTGCACCCTGTAAAAATGACAACTTATGCAGCATGAATTTTTCTCAATGATTTTCGATATTCTTAAAAATTCGATTATTATTCATGAAAGGCATGCACAAACATATTCATTCATTTGCTCATTCGTAGAGAATTACTTCTTCTTCCAATCTTAAACTCAAAGGAAGGATACAATTCGGTTTTCAAAAACCTTCCCAATTCCCAAATAATTATGAACTCGCCCTGCCGTTACATTTGGATTAAGGGTTTCCAAACCACGAGCCCTATATTCACCGCGTATGGAAAACCACACATTTTTCTACGGTAATAAAGGGAGACCATATAGGGTTCATAAAATTTAGCAGTGGATTTAATCCATATTGTTACCTTTACAAGCGACATTAGTGAATGCAGAGACATGACGATTTATGAACAGCCATTTCATGGTATTTAAAAGTCTCGCAGTTAGAAACGTTTTAAAAACCGGATTATGTTCCTCGTTCGAGTATAAAATTAGACGGCGTAATTATCTACCGAATGAGCAAAAGAATGAATATTCTTATGTATGTTTTCCATGAAATATAAGTGGACTTTTAGGGACATCGAAAATCAATGAGAAAAATTCATGCTACATAAGTAGTCATTTTTTACAGAGTGCAGTTGCTGCATGCAGCCGAAAGGAAGTTCATTCGAAAGCCGGCATCCTGAGGTAGCTGAACTATTATATAATTATGTTGCAGGCTGACTAGTTTTGCAGCCCTACTTAGTGAATCCTTTCGAAACGAAAACGCATTTCGGAATTTCGGCTGACATTTCACGAGTTAGCCCACCTACTGTACAAGGAATGTGACCTTGACTGCGTCAGTTTTGACGTTGGTTTAAGTCGGCCAGATGATATACTGGACATTTTCATCTTTGTTGCTAATCCTGCCCGGGTGCTGTCGACGTTCGCATCAAGCATGTATTGAGCCAAAGCCTGACCTATTTATCTCAATGTTTTTTATTTGCTCTCCCCATGAGTGTCCTCTTACGGGACTTGCCTCCCCTTTAGTTTCAGAATCATGCGAATGCTTAAGTCAAAGCAGCCGCCAGTCGAGCCTAATTTAGCTGTAGCTACTCCAAAAGATGCTTTTTCACCTTTCGTCCTTCTGGGGTAAAACATGACCTTCATCAGCAGCTGTCAGGTGCACGCGTGTGAGCTGATGCACATTCATCCGTAGTACATCCGAGAACAAATACCGATGATTGTTATGCATCAGGATGTCAGTATGGACTGAACCGATCCTCCAGCAAGCTTTATATACAATCAAGCGGGGTGCTGGCAGAACCAGCGTCGGGGGTTCTCGGTCCTCTAGGCCCAGAAAAAAACCCATACTCGCCAAGCCCTTTCACCGCCTAACCTTCTGGGTGTTTTTCCGTCTTCATGATTGCACAGCCGGTGAGTAACCGTATGCTTTAGTCGTTTTCGTCTACGGATAAACGTCAGTTGTGATTTTTCTCTTGCAGAATGCAAATTTCGCGCTTTTCTTCTTACCCCTTCGAGGTCACAACCTGGTCCTTTTGGCTGTCTGTGTGCTACGCATCTCCATGGCCTTAAAACCAGAGCTCAGTGCAGATGCTCACACGTTTCAACTCGGCGATGTGTCTTTCTGTCTCGGAAACACATGTCAGTGCTTAAAATCAAAACAGACACTGTCCGCTCACATCAGTGCCTGTTTAACTAACAAGAAGTATTGCACACGTAATCGGTTCCAGTCAACTTGGTCGTTGGCAAACCATTCAGATGATGTTGATCTCTGGAAGATATGCTAGTTTTCAACTCACTATTATGTCTTTTTGCATTCCAGTCAGAACATTAAGGGTACAAGAAACCGTTTTTCAACATAAGCGCTATCACTAAAAAAAACAGGCTGGTGAGATGTGGTTGTGTAGCCACGTCTGATGGATATAAGACTGTTGGGGTTGGGGCTAGGGGTTGTGGTTAAGGATTAGGGGTTAGGGCTATAAGCTAGGACTATGGTTAGGGGTTAGGACAACTATTTCTCATGCACTCAAAGTACGACCGCGCATTCCCAATAGGTTTTCTCTTGCATACAACTACTTGACCTTGTCGTCTGTGCCTTCACCCACCCCACCTGTAAAAACCCCTATGACCGCCGGTGCCGTATTACAGGTGGCCGGGGTTTGTTTACGTCAGGTGGGGCTACATAGCCCACATCTGACCCCAAAGGTTATCATTCCATTCAGTAAAGATTCATGATGTATGCAGGTGTCCGGAATCGTAATTTTTGGCTCTGAACTTTAAATGGTGGGCATAAGTCTGCCTCCAGTGGAATTACACCCTGTTCCACAATTACATGAGTATCCTTTTTAGCTACACTTTTTTTGTAATTTGCTGCAGATTGTCCTGCGATTTTGATCGACAGTTATAAGACAACGTAATTTGCTAGCGCTTTTCCAGCCTATAATGGGGATGTGGCGCAATGTGAATTTTGGAACGGTTGTCACCAGCCGACGAGTAGCACTCACTAATCGACTATTGGAGAAGACGCGTGAGGTGGAGTAAGTAATGCCACATACAGTAGGTAGGCTGACCCACGAAATGTCAACCGAAATTCCGAAATGCACGTTAGTTTCAAAAAGGTTAATTAAGTAAGGTCGCAAAACTAATCCTCATGCAGCGTAATTCTATAATAATTCAGTTACCTCAGAATGACGGCTTTAGAATGGAGATTTTTCCGGCTGCATGCGAAAACCATACTCTGTAAAAGCAGCATGCATTTTTCTCATTGATTTTCGATACTCTTAAAAATCAATTATATTTCATAGAAAAAATGCATAAAACTAATCACTCTTTTACTCGTTCGGTGAAAAATTACGTCTTCTTCTAATTTTATAACCGAAGGAGGGGTATTGTTCGGTTTTAAAATAGTTTCTAAATGTGAGATCTTTCAATACCATGAAATGGCCATTCATAAAACCTCCTCTCTCTGCGTTTACCAATGTGGCTTGTAAGCTTAATAATTTGGCTCAAACACACTGGCAAATTTTATGAACCCCATAGAGTCCCCTCGTAACACCGTAGAGAAATGTATTGTTTTCCGTAGGAGGGAAATATACGGCTTACAGTTTGGAAACACCGAGTGCAAGTGTAACGGCAGGACGGGTTCAAAATTATTCGGGAAATGAAAACGTTTTTGAAAATCGAGCTATATCCTTACCTCAAGTATACAATTGGAGGAAGGCGTAATTTTCTACCGAATGAGCAAAAGAATGAAGATTTTGTGGATTTTTTCCATGAAGTATAACTGCGTTTTCAAGGGCGTCGAAAATCATTGAGAAAGATGCATGCTACTTAAGTAGCCAAATTATTCCTGAACCTGTGTAGGGGAACACCGCTCTTGATTCAGCCGAAGCTCTACTGTAATTTTATCACATCACGAATATGTGGTGAGGTACCGGACTAATTTACCTTTAACAATTTAGTCGCGTTTTCTTTGCCCGGATTGCTTGTTTCAATGTGACGAAAAACAACACACCTCTACTACCCGCCTTACTGGCCTGCTTTGCTGTCACGCCCTGTAATCAGGTTACTTACCGTTCAGAATCTCTATATTATTCACTGCTCACTTTTATTTACTGACTTTAAAGCTAGGGGCTCGTGAGATATAACTCGTTATTTCGTGAGAACATTACCATTTACGTCATTGGTGACTCTCGACGTTAACGCAGACTTTATACCTTTCTATGTCATAGTGGATAACATTTAACGTACTAGTTGTTTGTGAATTTCTATTCCATTGACATCTAAATTTCTCATGAATTCTGATATCTTACCATCTCTGTCTTAATTATTATGTCTCATTACAACCAACAACTTGATGACCCCGACCAGTCCCTTCATGCCATCAGTTTACCTTGCCTGAATTCTGGTAACACGCTCCAGAACTTTACTCCGTCCGTATCGAATCAGCCTTTTATTCTGCTAACATTACCAAGGAGCTGGTGAAATACCACAAACTTGTGGAGGTCCTCCCCGCTAGTGTCATTTCTCATCTTCAGTTCTTCCTATCAAATCCTCCTGCAGATGCTCCATATTCCACGTTAAAGACAGAAATTCTTCGACTTAGTGCTGTGACCGACCGACAGCGGTATCACCAGTCAGTTAAGGAGGAGTCATTGGGTGACCGGAGGCCCTCAGAACTTCTACGTCGAATGCGTTTTTCTCCTTGGAGACATGCAGGTTGACGATAAATTCGTCAGGGCGATGTTTCTAGAGCGTCTGCCTGCAGAAGTTCAAACTATCTTGGCATCCGGTTCTCAAGATCACACTGTCTCACAGCTGGCTGAAATGGCAGATCGAATGATAGAGGTGCAGCGGTTCCGGTCGCTTTCCGTTGCCCAGATCTCCACATCCTCATCGACAGCGAATGAGCAGTTAGTGAAGCAGGTGTCGGCCATGGCGGATGAGATGACCTCCCTAAAACTACAGCTCGCACGCCTTGGTTCCAGTTGCTCACGCAGCCGTCGTCGTTCCCGTTCGCGACCTCGGACTGCCGATAATACTTGGCACCACACTAATTTCGGCGTAAAGGCCCGTCGCTGCTCTTCACCCTGCTCTTTTAAGCCGAAACAGGGAAACCAGTCAGCCAGAGAATAGACGAGACCGTTTTCTCTGGCTCTTCCGGCTCTGGTCGCACCTTCTATGTTTGTGACACTGCTAATCGCAGACGTTTCCTGGTGGATTCTGGGGCCCAAATCAGCGTTGTTCCCACAATTGCGGCTGCTCATCGTTTCCCTAATCCTGGTCTTCACCTCCAAGCTGCCAGCTGTGCCCCCATTCCCATTTTTGTCACTCTGTCCCTCACCCTGAACTTTGGCCTTCGTCGGTCATTCACCTGGGTCTTTGTCATTGCTGATGTCCCTCATGCACTCCTCGGCTCGGACTTTCTTGCCGAGTTCGATCTCCTTGTTGACTGCCGACGTGCCCGTCTCCTCGACCGCACAACCCGTCTGTCTGTTCGTGGACTAACTTCCTTTACTGCCCCCACCAGCTTATCTCTCTTGGATACAGCTACTGGTAGCCCCTTTCGGCGACTGCTTCTTACACACCCCAACATAATAAACCCCCAGTTTCGCAGTGGTGAGGTCCAACATGATGTTGTGCACCCTATCCGCACCTCAGGTCCTCCCGTGTTTGCTTGGCCAAGATGACTAGCACCGGGACGTTTCCAGGCCGCGAAGGCGGAGTTTGAACACATGCGGCAACTGCGAATAAGTCGGCCGTCCGAGAGCCCTTGGGCGTCCCCACTGCACATGCTGCCCAAGGTGACATCAGGCGATTGGAGACCCTGTTGCGACTATCGTGCCCTTAACAGCGCTACCATTCCTGATCGGTACCCCGTGCTTCATTTTTAGGACTTTGCCGGAGCCCTTTTCTGCAAAGCGGTTTGCTCGAAGATTGATCTGGTGCGGGCTTTTCATCAGATTCCAGTCGCCCCTGAGGACATCCCTAAAACCGCCTGCACCACACCCTCCAGTCTCTCCGAGTTCATCCGCATGCCGTTCGATCTTCGTAATGCCGCCCAAACGTTGCAGATGTTCATCAACCATGTCTTCCATGGTCTACCCTTTGTGTATGCCCACATTAATGACCTCATGGTGGCCAGCCGGAATGAGGAAGAACACAAAGAGCATCTTGCCTTGGTGTTTGACCGCCCTGACAAGTTTGGCGTTGTCATCAAACCCTCCAATTGCGTGTTTGGTGTGCCCTCGCTCGAGTTCCTCGGCCATCCTGTCGACTCTGAAGGTTTGCGTCCCCTCACCTCCAAGGTTGAAGCAGTTCGTAATTTCCCTCCACCAACTTCCAAGCGTCAGTTGCAGCGATTCCTTGGCATGGTCAGTTTTTATCGCCGGTTCCTATCGAACTGTGCTGACCTCATGCTGCCGCTCACTAACATGCTTTCTGGTCCCAAAGGTCCCCTCGAGCTGACTGGTGAAACACTGACTGCTTTTGAGAGAATCAACAATTCCCTTGCCGACGTCACCTTACTCACGCATCTCGCTCCGAAGCTCAGCTGTCCGTGATGGCAGATGCTTCAACCGTAGCCGTGGGTGCAATCTTTCAACAGCACTTTGCTGGTTCGACTCGCCCACTTGCTTTTTCTCTAAAAAGCTCTTACCAGCTGACACACGCTACAGTACCTTCGGCCGTGAACTACTTGCCATTTACCTGGCTGTGAAGCATTTCCGACATTTCCTTGAAGGTCGGGACTTCACTGTTTTCACGGACCACAAACCGTTGACTTTTCCACTTCGGTCCCGCTCCGTTACGTACAATTCGAGGGAAATCGCCCACGTAGACTACATCTCCCAATCTACCATTAACATCCGCTACATTGATGGCACGAAGAATGAGGTGACTGATATGTTGTCCAGACCCTCACTGTCTTCCCTCCAACTCTCACACGGGGTCGATTTTTGCGCCTTGGCGGCTGAGCAACAGCGAGTCGGTTGTCTTGACGACGAGTCTGTTAGTGCTCTCCAACTCAAAGACGTTCCTCTGACCACCGGCTCTGGTAACATACTTTGTGACATCTCGACTCCCTTTCATCACTCTTTCGTGCCCGCCTCGACGCGTCGAGCTGTGTTTCAAACTTTAAATGGACTCTCCCACCCTGGGATCCGATCATCTCAAAAGCTCCTTGCGGAAAGGTTTATCTGGCCTGGCATGAACAAGGACGTCAAAGCTTGGACTCGGTCGTGTCTGAGCTGCCAGCGCAACAAGGTGCAGCGTCACAACAAATCCCCACCGGGCACTTTCCCCAGCCCCGACGCACGGTTCAGCCATGTGCACCTGGACGTCATAGGCCCCTTGCATCCATCCAATGGTTTCACCCACCTCCTTACCTGTTTCGATCGATATACCCGCTGGGCAGAAGCCATTCTTTTGCCGAATACGCAGGCTGAAACCATCGTGAAGGCTTTCGTCAGTCGTTGGGTCGCCGTGTTCGGTGCCCCATCCACGGTTACGACTGATTGTGGTGCCCAGTTTGAGTTGGCACTCTTCCAAACACTACTCAATGTCCTTGTCTACACACGCATTCGGATGACAGCCTACCACCCAGCTGCCAACGGTATGGTTGAGCGTTTCCATCACCAGCTAAATCCCGCCCTGCGTGCCGTAGAAGACCCAGGAAACTGGTCGGACAACCTTCCTCTTGCACTCCTCGGCATTCGCGCAGTCCTGAAGTCGGATGTGGACTGTAGCGCAGCTGAAATGGTCTTCAGCACTATCCTCAGATTGCCAGGCAAGATGATCACCTCAACCTCTCGTGGTGCCGACGAGACACCTGAAAACCTTGTGCACCGTTTGCATCAATTTATGCGCTCGCTTTTCCCGGTTCCACCTCGAACTCCAATGACTGAGTCTTATGTCGAAAAAGACTTTGAATTCTGTACTCATGTGTTCGTCCACTGTGACCGTGTGTGGTAGTCACTGGAATCGCCATACGAAGGACCGTTCCGCGTGCTCGCGCGCAACGCCTAGACCTGCCTGATTCTTCGCGGTGACTAGGAGGACGTGGCCAATGTCGATCGGGTCAAGGCTGCTGTTGCAGAGGAGACGCCGGACCTGTCACAAGGACAAAAATGTGCTGACATCCAACCCCTGCTCCTTCATCTTCCCTATCCCCTGCTCATTTACTCTGCCCACTGCTTCGCCCTTCCCCTTCCTTGCCCTCTACTCCTCCGTCACGCATACTTCCTCTCCCTACATGTATACAGCATCCAACCTCAACATCATCGTCCACCGTAGCACACAGTCAACCCTCTTCGACTCTACTTCCTGCTTACATCACTCGCAGTAGCCGCCACGTTCATTTCCCCGATCGTTTAGTTACGCATTTTTTCTAGACTTAAACATATCCTCCGGCGCCGTAGTACGTAGCCTTCCGGTCTAGTAGGGGGTACTGTGTTGAGGTACCGGACTCTGACATTTCAGCCTCGTTTTCTTTGCCCGGACTTCTTGTTTGAATGTGATGGAAAACGACACACCTGTACAACCCGCCTTGCTGACCTGCTTTGCTGTTGCGCCCTGTTGTCAGGTTACTTAACGTTCAGAATCTCTATATTATTTGCTGTTCAGTTTTATTTGCTGCCTTTAATGCTAGGGGCTCCTTAGAGATATAACTCGTTAGTTCGTGAGAGCATCATCGTTTACGTCAAATACTGGCCTTGAATAGTAACCTGTCAACGGCATACCCTCGATTTGGCACGACAGCCGACGAACCGAATAGTTCAGGCCCAGGACTGCTTTCGAAGTCAACTTTCGCACGCGACATCGACACCGCCCCAGGGCTGGGGCAAGAGGTGAAATTCTGCGCCATCAAACTTGCGTGTCGACGCAGTACGCGATCACGCCATCTTAGTCGGTGTATTTGGCATTGCTGTGTGGTCCTAGGGGTGTAGGGTGGAGCGTCAAGGCGCAGGCTTGGTGGCGCCATACACTTGCATCCCCCCCCGCCTCCGGTCTTCTTGACTTTGTCTGGACGCCGGGTCCAGGGAGGAGGGCGTGAGAATGCGGTAGATGCTGTGATAGTCTACTCTCACTGTAAACTAATCCACGCGCAAATCACCGTGCCTCCTTCACCTTGCTGCGGAGGGGAGGGGGAGAGTGAAACACCACAATTCTAGTCAGAGCCCGGGAGCAGGTGGGTCCCGGCGAAGGTAATTACATGCGGGTGGCTGGCTTGATGGCTTTGAACCATGGCAACTGTGCGCATAGGACCCGTTCGCATAGCCTGATTACAGCCGCTTCTGCCGTTGCCAACAACCGCTGTCCAATTAGTTTTGGATAGCTTAATGGGACCTGTATATCACTTTGAAGACCTCTCTGGCGTCCACACGGTGGCCTGTGTATACCATGTGCGCGATGATTGAGCTGTTGACGTTCTTTATTTGGCCCTTTTCTAACTATGCTGGATGATGTTCTTTTTTTCTTTTGGATAAACACCGGCTCGCGCGACCAATATATTCTGCCCCACAGGAGCAGATGAAGTAGTAAATACACATAGAGGTGGTCTAAGCTGGTAGTTTGTCCTTGCCCTCCCCGTATAGGATGGGACTGGTGGAGAACAGTACACGGGTGCTGCAGTTGCGGATCTCTGTGTCTGCGGGAGGGGGTGGCGAAATAGTGAGATTCTACATGTTGGGCCGTGGGCACAACTTAGTGAGCCGGGCATACAGACCTTCGTAGTGAGCGTCCATATCGACATGGAGATTAATGCTGGTTTTGTTCGAGTGCCAGGCTTCGAGGAATCCTCGAGCCTGTTTGCTGTTCGCCATAGCAACAACTTCAACAAAAGTTTTCCCTTCCCTTCCCCGACCATAAATTGTTCCAGGTATAGTGTGATGCTACATTTTCTAGGGCAACCAAGTTAAAAAGCAAGGAAAATAATCCTTTGCGACTTCTTAGTCAATAAATATCCTCTTCAGAGTATAGAAATCATACAGAAATTATTCTTCCTAGAACTCGTCCTGTAACACATTATGTATACTTTGAGATGTATAATGGGGGGAGAGGATCCATAGGTTCGAAAAATGTTGATAAGGCAAGATTTGTTCCTGGAGCCCCACTGATTAACTTCGTAAAACAATTTCAATTAACATAGCTAACTTAACCACTCCCTGGATTAGGAAGGGATAGAGAGCACAGACAAAGATAAAAACACGCGCAGGGAAGCGCGTGTTAACCGATGCTTTGTGTAATCGAGGCGGTGTCCCCTCCCCTCCTCCTCCGGACACAGTCATTCGCTGGATTAAGAGGATATAGGAGACGCAATCACAATTGGAGGACCACAGGGGGAACAGCGGGTTAAATCGAAGTACATGACCACTATAGTGGAACCGACGGAGTTCAACGACGTCCGAACAATGGCATTAGCAGGCCTACGTAGTCGCTCTCTGGATTGAGGGCGCAAGCAGGGCTCGAATCACGCGCAGGCGGACTTCAAGCCACCAAGCCAGTCACCCGCAGGTAATTACCTTTGCCGGGACCCACCTTCTCCCTGGCGCCGACTGGAATTGTGGTTTCACTCTCCCCTCCCCTCCCTTCCCCAAACCCGAGCTACAGCTTAATTATCTACTTGCCCGTTCTTTTAAATGCATTACTTCAATAGCCATATAAATGTGCAGGCCTGAAGAGAATTTATCGAAAGCAGACGTATGCTCATCAAATTGCCTTTTGGAATCCACTTTCCGTAAGCGCAATCATTTCTTTGGAGTTCAGAATTTCCAAGCGTGTGAATTCATTTACGGTAGGAGTAGACTTACGCAGAATCTACTATGTAGCCTCCCACTCACTTACCTGTGCCCGCTGTGATGGCAAAAGCACAGGTGACTGCATGGCAACACAGTGATATTCTTCAGCGCACGGTTTTTGGAGCACAGTCATATTATTGATCTATAGTAATAGGAGCGAATAGGCGACTTCCAGGAAGCAGTTCAGAAGAAGAAGATGCAATCATTGGAACAATTAGTTTCCCTGCCAGCACCAACTCCCGAGTGCCACCTCACAGCCCCGCCTTGCGAGGCGGCTATGACGGCGCTGTGCGGGGCAGATCCCAATGTTGCCCCGTCATGTCCCCTCATCGAAAAAATATGCGCAGGGACGCCTGCTATTTGTCGTTTTTGCTCCCCCCTGTCATATCAGACAGTCTCGCATGACTGCGAAGCTCCGCACCCCTTACTTTTTTGCGTTTTAGTCCAGATCCCCCCTTTTCTACACCGATTTTCCCCGGAATCCATGCTAGGTCATACCTTTATACCTTCCTGCGAACCCTGCTCGTCTTATTTTTCGTGTTTTATTACAGCCCCCCTTTCCAAAGCCGATTTTCCCCGCGATCGTTTGCAGACCTTCACGCGTTACTGCGAAGCCCCGAACGAACCAAACTGTCAGCACGCTTGAACGCCAGTTATTGGCTGTAGAAACGTTATTAAACGAGAAAGATAAAAACGTAGTATGTCAAGTAGTTATGCTTCGCCAACAAACATATGTGGTAGGCTGTCCATGTCGGTAGCAGGTATCTGCAAGAAAAGAAAGCAGGATGTGCAATAATTAAACGGCGAAAACGATACTACTAAAGTATGGTATTTTAGTAGTATATTTTACTGTGCAAAGCACTATGAAGTCGAATAGGTCGAACATAAGTGAGTTTTAAAGATATAAAGAAAGGCGTACTTACAGGTAGGTAAGGCCAATAATTATTGGCCTGACGTTTTAGAGGAATACGCTCTGGGTTTGACAGCCAACTACCCTTTTCCCTGCACCAAGTGATCGCTCGAGCCGATCGGCCAACTGATGCCGAGATTAGGAGAGGTGACTGACGGGACCAAGAACAGCACCTCTGTGCGTGCTACAAACACGGCCTAGCACACACACAAGGAGTACAGCGTTCGGATCTCACATGTAGCACAGCGGCCACATGAAGAAGGAACCCATTGAGTGTTATTCTCAATTATATGAGAAATGGCTGCGTTGTTTGATGTTAGAGGCATCCATGAGGGAGGCATGCGTTGGTGGGAAATGTGTGGTGATATGGTCTAGTCTACGGCAATTGGCCGTAGGTGTCCATGAAGGCACATGTGACAGAGTAGGCGCGCGCGATGGCCGAGTGTGATTGGGATTGAAGCGGTGGTGTTTGGCGTGTGTTGGTGCTCCAGACACTGGTTCATCAGTCTCTGTGCGATGGATTTGTAGGTCATCGACCAGGCCGATACGTGAGGTGAACGTGCGTGGACAGTGTAGGAAGGAAAAGTTGGGGGAGGCCGAGCCGATTTGTTACTATGGTGCTAGTGGTAGCCGCTCCCGGTGGATACGGAGTAACTATGTTTGGGTATGGTAGAGCTTCTGGGTGTGCATAGATTTTTCGGTGAATTCTGCTGTAGTGGGTACACACTTGATTACATAGGCCCAGTCGGCGTGTGGAAGTGCCTGGACAGAGCGGATGGTGATAGCGGATGTCGCGAGTGTGCATGTGGGAATTCCGGTACTTCTGTGCTGGCCGCCGTGCGACGGATTTACAAATGATCGACCAGGCCGATGTGTGAGGTAAATGTGCAGTCGCAGCGAGAACAGGTTGGGACGAGGTCCCTTTCGTTGGTAGTGGGGGTGATAGTGAAGGTGGGAACTGACGATGAGTCGGGAGTGTTCTGACCGGTGGCTATACTGGGAGGGCTGGTGGCCGTCGTCCTGGAGGTTATGACAGAGATTATTAAGATGGCTGTGAGCGATGGCGGCGTAACATCGGAATTGTAATCATCCGCGATGAGGGAGGTCGTGGGTTGGTGCAAGTTTGACGATGGGGGCGTTTATGGTGCAGCAGTTAGGGTTATTGAGTTAATGATGGGTTACGCTCCGAGATGTCCAATGAAACCAATCCGTGTGTGTGGGTATGTTGGAAGAGGTTGCGTGTTCATGTTATGGGTCGGGACACT